CGTGAGAAACAGGACTTGGTCCTTGGCCCACGGTCGTAATGGGGCCGGCAGGAACTGTCTGTTGAGTTAGGGTGGGGAGGAGGGCAGGCGCGGCCTCTGGAAGCCTCGCTCACACACCAGGTTTTCACAGAGCGGGTCAGAGCTGAGCTTGAGGCTGGATGCGCTGAGTGCAGAGAAGGACGAGCTGAGCAGTGCCGTGCGGCAGCGGGAGGAGGACCTGCTGGCGGCCCAGAGCCTGGTTCGGGAGAAGGAGGAGGCGCTGAGCCAGGAGCAGCAGCGTAGCTCCCGGGAGAGGGGCGAGCTGCAGGGGCGGCTGGCGGACAAGGTAACTGCCCCGCCCCGCCCCGCCCCGCCCCTCGCCTCGCCTCGCCTCGCCCGCTCTCACTCTCATATTTCCCCCTCTCCTCCGCCCTTCCCCTTCCCCTCCGCCCTTTCCATTCCCCCTCCCACTCCCTCATCCCCCCCCAATGCCCCATCCCCCCTCATCCACCCCACCCCCCCCAATCCCCCATCCCCACCCCATCCCCATGCCTCCTTCCCCCACCCACCCTGTGTAACAGCTGAATCGGGACAGAATTCCTTTTCATTCCTGAGCTGTCCGCCTTACTCCTGAGCCTAAAGCACTGGAGGTGGAGCAGGGCCTCTTTTCAGAACCTCCTCCCCCCCAGCAAGGGTCTCTGCTTGGGACCTGGCTGGTTGCCAGCCCATGGGGCTGACCCTGGAGGGCAGCGGGGTCTAAGCCTCCTCTCCCCTCTCCCGGCAGGAGTCTCAGGAGCAGCGGCTGCAGCAAAGGCTCCTGGATGAGCAGTTCGCCGTGCTCCGGAGCACAGCCGCTGAGGCCGAGGGCATCCTGCGGGACGCGGTGGGCAAGCTGGACGATCCCCTGCACCTGCGCTGCACCAGCTCCCCGGGTAGGGCCGCCCCCAGTGCAGGTGCAGGCGCTCGCGCTGTGGTCCTCTCTTCCCTCCCACCCTGAGAGGCGGGCAGAGGATGATGGGGCCTCAGGCCGGGCTCCACCCCTCACTGCTTCTCCCTGTGCTTGCAGACTACCTGGTGAGCAGGGCCCAGGCGGCCTTGGATGCAGTGAGTGCCCTGGAGAAGGGCCACGCCCAGTACCTGACCTCCAGGGCAGGTGAGTACAGCGGGGACAGGAGTGGGCAGGGCAGAGGCCGCCAGCTGCGGTGCTGGGTCCACCGGGCCTTCGCTGCCTCCTGCTTCTGGGGAGGTTTCCCATAATCAGGAAGCTGAGCAGGTACTCCCCTCCCCTACCTCTACCTGGGAGCCCAGCTCCACCAAGGAACCCAGCCCTGTGGGCCTGGGGTCACAGACCTGAGTGTGGTTCCCATTCTGCTTTCTGGCTGCGTGATCCCCTCCCCCTCCACCCCCCTAAGCTGGGGTATTGGTGCCTGTCTCTGGCTTGCTGGGCAGGGAGCTGGATGAGCTGTGCAGCGGCAGTGCTAAGGTTCACCACTTTCCTTGCATAGACGCCTCTGCCCTGGTGGCAGCGCTGACTCAGTTCACCCACCTGGCTGCGGACACCATTGTCCACGGCAGCGCCACCTCCCACCTGGCCCCCACTGACCCTGCTGACCGTAAGTGAGCCCTGACTTTATATCTCAGTGGTCCTCCTGGGCGACCCCGGCAAGAGGGGGCTGTGGACAGGTCCTGGTGTCAGACGGGGTTGGGGCCTGCATGTGGGGTCTTCCAGGGTTCCTGGAGCCAGCTCCCTTCACGGCTCTCTCCCCGCCCTCTCCCTGCAGGCCTGATCGACACCTGCAGGGAGTGTGGGGCCAGGGCGCTGGAGTTCATGGGGCAGCTGCAGGATCAGCAGGCTCTGCTGCAGGCCCGGCCTGGCCTGGTGCGGGGTCCCCTGCAGGGCATCCTTCAGCTGGGGCAGGTGAGGTGTGCAGCCGTGACTGCGAGCACAGGCCAGGGGACCTGGGTGGGGCTTACATCCCCAACTTTTCTTCACCTCCTTCCAGTTTGGGCTGTACAGGTGCCATGTGCAGAGCCTGCAGCTGCAGGACACAGGACACGGCTGCCCCAGCCTCTCTCCCAGGCTCTGTGGGGTGGCGAGGGGTCAAATCCACCCTGTCTAACCCCTGGATACCTTCGTCGCCCAGGAGCTGAAGCCCAAGAGCCTGGATGTGCGTCAGGAGGAGCTTGGGGCTATGGTGGACAAGGAGATGGCGGCCACGTCTGCGGCCATCGAAGATGCCGTGCGGAGGATCGAGGTGAGGATCCGGTGCAGGGGTGCCTCCACTTCGTGCAGGAGCCCTGGGGGCTGCGCTGGGCTGAGTGCTGGCTGCACCCACCTCTGCACTCGGCCTCCGTGTGAGGGACAGACGGCCCCTGTAGGTCAGACCTGGGGTGCCGGCGGGGGGGCCTGGCTTTCCCTCCCTGGGCCATTGCCTCCCACGCTGCCCTCCTCCCAGCCTGCTCAGAGCTCTGTTGTTGGGTGTAGGACATGATGAACCAGGCCCGCCATGCCAGCTCCGGGGTGAAGCTGGAGGTGAACGAGAGGTGAGCCCCACTTCTGCCCCCCAGGGTGGGGCGGGTCCCAGCAGCCTTCCCAGATCGGGAAGGGGGGTTCTGCCCTGACTGTTCAGCTCTAGAAAGAAGGGCTGGGAACCAGCAGAGCACACCCGCCCCGTGGGCCCACCTGCGGAGTGCCCAGTGCTTTTCCCACGAGAGGCAGGACCAGACTCCCTACGCTCCTCAGGCTTCTGGGGCCACACTGCAGATCCTTCTCTTTTCCCCACCCCTCCCTCCTCTCCCCAGGATCCTCAACTCCTGCACAGACCTGATGAAGGTGAGTGGCTGGCTGGGACCCCAGGGCGGGCTCTGTACCTGGCAGGGCCGCCTGAGTGACATGTGTCTTGGTCTCGGCAGGCCATCCGGCTGTTGGTGACAACGTCCACCAGCCTGCAGAAGGAAATTGTGGAGAGCGGCAGGGTGAGCTAGGCTGCCCGCTGGTCTGACAGCACCTCCCTCGCCGGGCCAAGTGGGCCCCTCCCTGGTGGGCGGCCCACACCCCTGGGGCCACAGATTCCTGCAAGGGGCAGGACCCCAGATCACCTGTGGCTTAAGCCTGGCCATGGGGCTCTTTCGGGCACGAGACACCTGAAGTGTGCAGTGATGGCAGACCTTTCCCACACATGCAGCGTGCCTGGGAATCATAGCTTCGCCCCTGACGTGGCCTGGGCGTGCGCCCTTGTGCTTGGGGTGAGGGGAGAAGGGCTCAGTGGGGGCATCTGTTGCCACTTGTGATGTCCTTCATTGGTCCGCCCTGCTCTCCTGTCGCCACTAGGGGGCAGCCACGCAGCAGGAATTTTATGCCAAGAACTCCAGGTGGACGGAAGGCCTCATCTCTGCCTCCAAGGCCGTGGGCTGGGGAGCCACACAGCTGGTGTATGTCGCCCCAGGTTGGGGTGGGGCACCGCAGGGTGTGTGGTGCTCAGGGTCTGGGGAGCGAGCGTGGGGGTGGCCCGGTTGTCCATGAGGCTGGAGACCCAGGCCCTGCCTGGCTCTGCCCCCAGGGAGTCAGCTGACAAGGTGGTGCTTCACACGGGCAAGTATGAAGAACTCATCGTCTGCTCCCACGAGATCGCGGCCAGCACAGCCCAGCTGGTGGCGGCCTCCAAGGTGAGGCCCCATGCTCAGCCTCTCACCTCGGGTTCCTCCACTCTGGGCAGGGAGACGAGGGGATGGGGGTGAGCCCAGCAGGCCCCTGACCCACCCGCGCTCTCCGCAGGTGAAGGCAAATAAGCACAGCCCCCACCTGAGTCGCCTGCAGGAGTGTTCGCGCGCCGTCAACGAGATGGCCGCCAACGTGGTGGCCTCTACCAAGTCGGGCCAGGAGCAGATCGAGGACAGAGGCGAGTGCTGGGGTCCTGGTGTAGCAGCCGGGGTGGGGGCTGGCACCCGGACACTTACCCTTCCCTCTGGTCACAGACACCATGGACTTCTCCGGCCTCTCCCTCATCAAGCTGAAGAAGCAGGAAATGGAGACCCAGGTAGGCGCCCACACCCAGCAGCCCAGCTTCCTCCATGCCGGCCTCCCCTGTCCCTCCCCCTTGCTCCCCTGTCCCTCCTGCATCCTCCCCTGTCCCCTCCTCCTGTCCCTCTCCTATGGCTGAGCTCCAAGAAGACTCCCTGGGCCACGGCCGTGGGGTCCATTGACCGGCATTGCGGGCTGCAGGTGCGGGTCCTGGAGCTGGAGAAGACCCTGGAGGTGGAGCGTGTGCGGCTGGGGGAGCTGCGGAAGCAGCACTACATGCTGGCCGGGACCGTGGGGGCGCCCGGCGAGGAGGACCCCGGCCGGCCTAGCCCTGCCCCCCGCAGTGGGACCTCCAAGAAGCCGCCCTTGGCCCAGAAGCCCAGTGTGGCTCCCAGGCAGGACCACCAGGACCACCAGGTGCCAGGCATCAGTGCTGGGGGGTGCAGGGGCGGGTGGCAGGGCAGGGGCCCTGGGGGTGCTGTCCTGGCCTCTGCTTGCCAGTGTGAGGGGCATAGGGCCTTGGAGGTCAGAAACATGCTGCCCTGGCAAAAGGGGGAGCACAGCACATGCCAGGGGCTTGCTGAAGAGAGGGAGGCAGAGGCCAAGGAAAGGTGGGGTGCATGGGGGCCTGGCCTGGATATGTCATGCACCCCCGGCTGTGGCCACTGAGCCCCGCACCTTTGACTCCTGCAGCTCGACAAAAAGGATGGCATCTGCTCGGCTCAACTCGTGAACTACTAGGCACCCCCGGGGGGTCCAGCGGGGAGGCTGATGGGCAGGCCCGGGCCCACGTGGCAGAGGAACCTCTGAGAGGCCCAGTCCCCATGCCAGGTGCCCGAGCCCCCCGCCCCACAGTCCGCATCAGTGTCCCCAAGGCTCCCAGCCCTTGCTGAGCCTGAGGGCTCAGGACTGACCAGGGCCAAGAGGACCAGTTCTCCTGGACGGAAGCAGCCAGGACCCAGCAGGCCTGAGCCACAGCTCTTCAGGAAATACACGGAACAGTCTTAATATTCTAAGTTAGATCTGTTGTGAGTTCGTATTCAACACACTGGGAAGTAGGGCCACTGGAGGGGCTGTCTGGAAAAGCCCCCCACCTCTTCGGACTCGGGTCTGAGGTTAGAGATGACTAGAAAGAACACGGTCCGTGCTGACTGCTGGGGAGATGGGTACATCACCTGTTTATGGCCTTCTTGGGGCACTGATTCCATGGAGACGGGACCTGGTGGGGCCACAAACAAAGTGGGATGCTCTGGGTGGACTGGGGGTAGCACCCCTCTCTCCCCAGGCCTTGCTCTAGGGCATCAGTGATGTGAGTGCTGGGGGACGCAACCCTCGGCCAGGCAGAGGCAGGCCACGTGAGGCTGCCTGGCAGGGCGGACCCCGCGGCTGAGTGCCCACACCCGCTGGGCACAGGTGCTGCTACCTTGTGGTCTCTGTTCCCGCTGGACTGACTGCAGTGACTCACCCGCTTCCTGTTTTTCATTCCCCTGATCTGGGTGCCCCTGCCCTGGAAGCTCCATTCTGGCCACCTCCCATGCCCACCTTCTCCCCCCTCTGCCTGCCCACTCCCTGGGTGATTCCCAGCTCTCCTGAAGGCTCACCCAGGAAAAGGCCAGGAGCTAGGAGCGGCGGCCCGCTCCGTGGAGCACAGGTACCTCATGCTGCACGGGAGGGGGCTGCCGTGGGGGAGGGCTCGGCCTGGCCCCGCCCCAGACGGAGGAGTGGGAGGAACTGCTCTCCCCGAGCCCGCGCCTCCCGGGGAGGGGGAC